TAAACTATACATCTTCGTAATTTTAAAGCTTAAACGAAAAAATGGCTTAAAACCCTGTTATTATTCAATAACCAAATTCTACTTTTGAATTATTGAACACAGTTGAATGTGAGGCCCAATAAAAGGCCCAATCTGAGGCCGAATCCACGGCTAACTTCACAGTGGTAAACTAAATACAGAATAAATAAATACAGAATAAACAACACGCCTGTTCTGGCGTTAACTCCGGCGTGCCGTGCACGTGCCAGTCTTCAAAATAAAGCTTCCGAACAGAAACAATGCAGTTCATATTCATTTAGATGCCTTGCGAACCTAAATGTTGTTCGATCGCGAAATTCAGAAGCACGTCGTACTTTAAAAAGTATAGAAGTTCAATTGTTCAAAAATGTAAATAAACCGCATGATACATTCACTTTGTCTACAATCTTTGGAATTCGTGCTTATATAGTTATAATTAAATTTTCAATCCTGTGCAAAATGCGACGTGTCAACGCGCCCATACACGGCCACATCTTGTTAAACGGCGAAATAGCAGCGATATTATTAAAATAGGACCAGAATCTACATGTATTAAATATATTTTACCCCAATTCAATCTATAAAAATTAATCGAACAGCATCAAAAGAACGCGTACGGGTTTATTGGTTCCTCTTGTAGGAATTGTCGTATCATGCGAGCGAAATCGAATCGCGCATCGGAAAATTAGCCAAAGCTGTGCACCAACTCTTGGGAGACAAGACTGGGACGTAGATAAATGCGATCACATACACATTTCAATTATCAAATACTAGTATATTTTGCGCCATTACACACTTGCGACGCTGACGCCGGAGTAATTAATTAACGTAGCTACGTTTACTAGCTATAAATTAATAACACAAAGAAAGAGAAGAGTCTTACTTTAGTTGGCGCACACAAACTGCTGCTGAATACCGTCGTCGATAGAGTTCAAACGTAGAGGTATATATCCAATTGTAGCATAAGGTGATTGGCTTACATTCCAACACGAGATAAGCAAGGTGTCATGCAAGCACGCTAATCCGGGGGTAAGCTGCTTAGTAGCAGCTGCTGGTGTAGTCGCAGGAAGTAACAAAACGGAAATTAATTATCTATAATGCTATTTCTATCATTAACTGCTATATTTTTATTGACCTCGGAAGCACTTACAATGGTGCATCCGCGGCAACTTACTTTTCCTTATTCATTAGTGTTAGTCCATATTTACAGTTAATCCCATTATCCGATATCCGTTACAGTTATTATTGTTATTGCATGTCGTTAAAAGAAGCTATCACGCCCTATAGAATGAGAGTATAAATAACAAATGTAAAATATGAATAAGAGAGTTGGATCTAGACCTGTTGTGTGTGTGAAGTAAGCTCGGCTCGTCACATAACCATAAAGTTAGGGTTTTAAACCTACATAACGGGCCTTAATAGCGGTACTACGAACCTTTGCAATACATTATTTAAATGGTTTGAAACAGGAATTAATGTCAATAACTAAATATAAGTAAATGAATAAAGCGTTCGTTCTAATGACAATGTTCATCACAATCTCATACCAACGTCAGGTGGCCTCTTCTAGGAAGACGATCTTGTCTACAGACCTCACCAACTCGTTGCTGCTTGTCTTCTGTTTCACGGATCGTACCAGTCCTTCACGCTCGTTGCGGTACGCTTCCAACACACGAGCTAAGGGCCATACTCCTCTTGGTTTGCTGTCGCCTAGCACCATGACGATGTCGTTCACTGCCACGTTCCTCTTCGAAGCGTTCCACAATTTTCTTGAGGTTGTCTGGATTGTCCAGTTTCCCTAATTAACCAATTTCCTTCAATGTGTTGGTGCAACTCACCAGCTGGATTGAGAATCTCTGCAACTCCTCGCTGTCCTATTATCTGATGGGGGCCCCGTCGATGAGTTTCTGCAGGTGCGCAGCGACGATCTTGTATTTCTGACCATATCGCTCCTTAAGCAAGCGTCGCGCTTCTCTATATCCCTCCTCTGGCTGCATGGACAGACAACTTCGCATCAATTCCTGACCGCTTCCGGAAGTGTGATGCACAAAAAAGTAGAATATTGCGCTGGGGTGGTTTGCCTTGCACTCTACCATATGTTCAAATGCACGTACGAAGTCGCAGAAACCTAGCGGATCGCCGTTAAACGTCTGCAAACTGGGTCGTGGTAAGGTCAGCGCCATTAGGCTTTCTTGTTGCTGTTCGACTAGCTGCTGTAGCACCCCATTCTGACGTTCTTCCGTCGTCATTAGCGCTTGAAACGATTCCTCGCGGAACTTATCTAATTGCGAAAGGTTGTTGACGTACGAGCGTTCGTAGCCCTGCGGCGTTACAGCGCCCCATTCGGGGGCTTCAGAGTTGAGTGTTTGACGTGAGGAAATATCTACGGCAGCGGGATTAGCTTCTGGACTTGAAGAAACCTTTGGGGCATTCTCTCGTCGTTGATCGGCGAGGTTTAACTTGCGCTGAACCGGTGGTAAACTATGCAAAACACTTTTGTTAACCACAAAATTAAGGTTTCAAACCTACAGGCAGCACTCCCTACCCTATTGGTACCCTAGTTCAAAATGGGCCTAACTTTTCTTTGGCGCATTGCATGACGGTACCAGTGGCAGGGTCGGTTAAACATATCTACATATTATTTTGGTTTGGGGCTGAATTTAATGGCATCGGTTTGTCTGACCGACCATAAAAAGCTCCCGCTCCACGAATTTCTTCGTAAATACCGCTTTCAAAGGCAAATATATCGGGTGCTCTCCTTCGATCCTTCCTAGACACTCTAGGATCTTGTTTTCATTATGTTGAAGACAATTTTCCCCGCTTCCTGTACGCGCGCTATTCGATTTCTTCTCATTTAACGGGCCAAGCTCTCGGCCGGGGGCGGATCTAGGGTAAGTCCAGTCAGTCGCGCGACTTACGTATTTTTGGCAGTAAAAATGATAATTAAATATTCAAATTTATCTTGAAATATGAATAATTAACCCCTTCAAGATTGTAATAAGAATTAAAATCATAGTCCAGTTAAAGGGTTCAGTTTCAAAAAAGCAATATTCTTTCATCCAGAGCAGCGGTAAAACGCAAAAAACTCGCAGAATCGGGTGGGTCAGCCGGCTCATTTGATTGGTCGATAAGCCATTTGGACTTATCTCGACTGATTTGTGGGGTGGCCGGACTGATTTGCACATTAACGGGGCCAAATCAGTCCATTTCTTGCATTGCGATTGGTCAGTTTGAATTTACCGGACTTATCTCGACTGATATGCGGGGTGGCCGGACTGACTTGAACTTTAAACGGGGTTCGATTTCGATCGCTCTGTCTTCAGAATGATAAAAATACAAAATTTATTATTAAACGAAGCCAGGCTCTCCACTTGTGTGTTTTGAAATATGACCCTCGCCAGCTCTGTTAATAAGCGGAATCTAGTATGTCTTTCCTGGGCATTGTGATGAACGCTAAAATGAGCCGAAATAATCAAAATTCCGATCCGCCGATTTGAAAAATTTTCTCAAAATTTTCCAATTTGGACTTATGTTTGAAAAATCCTAGATCCGCCCCTGCTCTCGGCTTACTTACTCCGACAGTTTTGGACAAATCTGTGCACACGCGCACAAATTGTCACGGTTTTCAGCAAGGAATACTTTTCTACCAACTCGTCAAAGGCGTTCTGCTCTGCGGCTGAACATATAGGCTTGAGCGCCTTGTTGGCTAACGCGGTTTTGGCTTCATCTCTGGCAGGGCCGTCGCTAGAAGCTTAATTGGGCAGGGGGGGTGCATATTCATATATTCGTCTTATGCCCGCCTGATTTCTTTTGTTAACTATTGTTTCAACGGTTGTACGAACATAAATATGTGAATGTACACCCCCCCCCAATTAAGCTTCTAGCGACGGCCCTGTTCGCTTGCTTCCGGACTGGGTTGAGGAACGACTTTTGGAGACCATTTCGACTTGTCACTCGAACAAGTTCACCGGCTGTGTATGCTCCCTTTAATTATCTAGACTGCTATACTTATCTAATCGCCTACTATATTTATCTTTGATTTATATAATCTTGGAAACACTTGCGATGGTGCGCATCTCCGACTTTTATTCCATTATTTAAAATTTATATCGTAAATATGTAAGGGCAAAGGCCTTGCCTTTTTTTCGAGATTTAATCGGAATTCTAAAATACACAAAAAAACGTCCCCCCATAATTGCTTATTTCCCGCAACCAATCAGATCGCAGTCGACATCGATTGTCCCAGAGCTTTCGGCACAGGCAGTAGACGAAAACCTGGGAACGAGGATGATAATTCCTTCAATTTCCGCAATCATTCTTCACGTCTAACAAGTTCACACTCCTTATTTTATATACGGCTCACTGGGATAAATAGGTTCCCAGCATGAGGTTATGGGTATGTCCCTGATTTATGCACCGAGAGAAGCTAACTTCCTGTTTTCGCGTTTCTCATCAATTATAGCGACACTAATTAGCCATAAACCAGACTAATGTTTGTCTTTATTTATGCAAATCGCAATGATATTATATCAGTCATTTCGACACGTAAGCAACTCGAGCACAGGCAAAGTACGATGTAGCTATATACTGTTAATATTCAGTTGTGTAATTGTGTTCAGACATGCCCGATTTTGTCACTTCTGTTGCTACTTGATTGAATTTTGTTCGCAAACGCATTTGACTAATTTGAATTAATTTTAATTGAATTGAATAGAAATAATAAAGCACTACCGAGACGGTTGTAGAGTTGCAGTGTATATGTGGATGTTTCAAAGTGAACTTTGGGTTACTTGTACACTTTTGGAACGGAAATTTCCATTGCGAAGCACTACCTTTATATATAAAAATTAATATACCATGTTCGATAATATCTACTTCCGTCTATAAAGAGTAATTAAATTTGTATCAACTGCTATCAAACTAGATGTTGCAATGGATACATTTATATGATAACATAGACACACATAAGTGCAGCAACTTACCTGACTAAAATGACCTTTGGTCGAAACGTGTAGTAGTTTTCTTGTATACATGTAATTTAGACAAGCAATTTCTGCATGATATTTCTGTCCACAAAGTTGGCTATGCATGAGGTGTTTATGCACATGCCACTGTGGCGATTTACCATTGGTTAACCTCGTATATATATGTATACAGGGTGTATCAAAAAAATTCGAATCCAACTTTGACAAGCTGCTGTGTATAAAATACTAAAGTAAACGATATAATTTTTATATGGCAACAAAGATTAGCTTATTTAGTTTACGATTATACCGTTCTTATATCGACACGACCAAAACTGGCCGAGTTATCGTCTTTTAAAAATTGTTGCTCGGAATCAATTTTTTCCGCTGATGGAAATTCGAAATGAGACCTCCAGACAAAAGAATATGCAAATTTAATTAATGGAGGCATTGTGTTCTTTAAACTTCTGTCGTTGAACATTGAATAAGCAGAATTTTTGCGATAAATTTGTGTTTTAGTTTTCAGTAATGATTAGATTTTAAAGCCCTTTGGGACTAATTTTCAATAAAACAAACGTCCAGATCCCATCGGCGGAAAAAGGTGATTTTTATGAACTTTTTTTGTCGAACCAGTACTTCTTCATTTTTCAACTAAATTACACGTACAACGTGTCATTTGAAAGAGAAATGAATGAACTTAACAATGGTGTAAAAATCAACCAAATTTGTCAAATATATTTTGCATTATTGCACGCAAAATTTCGATTCGAATTTTTTTGATACACCCTGTATATGTATTAAGGGGCTGTTTACATGAGCCTGGTCTGACTAATGATTTTCCTGCATTCTAACTAAATAAGGAATTTGAAGCAATTATAAATTAATGCTGATTATTATTTGTAAACACCTCGCAATTTATATATACTGACCCAATTAGTCTTAGACTAATTATTAAACATATACTCAATATGTGAGCTATTCTGCAATTTGATTGGTCGAGATAGCCAGCGTATATCAATCATCTCATGGTGAGTTGCAATAAAAAATGGCCGAGAAGTAGTTTATTCACAATACAATCCTGGAACAATTTGCTTCATAACCAATCTGTGAGCTAGAAGTTAAAAATTATAGCCATATTCTATCGTCGCTAGAAGCATAATTAATTGGGGGGTTGCATATTCATATATTCGTCTTATGGCCGAAAGATTTCTTTTGTTAGCTATTGTTTCTAAGGTTGTATAAACATGAATATGTGAATATGCACCCTAATTAAGCTTCTAGCGACGACCGTGTGCAAAAACCTGGTTCTCATATGTCACCGACAGTCGGCGATGTATTGTTTGTAGCTGGTGACGAAGAACATTTATTGAAAATAATAAAACACTTCATTCATCAGTGACCAGGGACAATAGGTATCGCCGACCGTCGGTGACATACGAGATCCAGGCTTAAAGGCACACACACACACTGAATTACATTATCCCCCAACGCGACGCAAATTTTCATATCTTTGAAGCAAATAAATTAAACTCTTGAATGAAATTTTGATCGACTGAGGTCATGACATCATTAGGTGCCTCGGCAATACCGTTCAGGGCGTAGCAAGGGAGAGGGGCGAATTCATGTTAAATGACTCCATCCATGGTTGACAAAAATGAAGTTGTCACGTTGTTTATTTAAAGGGTATGTTTTGGGATGCCCTGATGAATTTTCTTACTTTTGATTTTAGTTAATTAATATGCACGGAAATGATCCATTCTAGCAAGCTAAGATCTTAAATATCAAAGGCCTTTTTCTTTGAACATCCCGAACTGCGTTTTTTGGGACATTCTATGTTTTACAATCTCATTGTTATTTGGCTATTTCCCAAGTGAATGCCAGTATTTCACCATAGTCCTGGGTTGACATAACATATCAGTCCAGTGCTCAAGTTCCTTGCCTCGTGCGTACATCATACCGCCTAACAATACTCGACCAATCAGCTTTCCCTCAGTTGTTGCGTCACTTCCGGTACTTTGATACACGGACAGCAGCAAGCTGCATGCCGGGAGATCGTCGCTCGTCGCGTTGATGTGAAATGTTTCATTGTAAAATGGCTCTATTGTGCCGCATTTAACGTTGGTTTTCTTCACCTTTAGCACGTTGTTGCCTTTCGAAAATGTCACTTTGACGTAAGTATCTATACATGTAGGATAAACAAACATATAAATTTTCATTTATGCGACGTTTCTTAGCACCATAGAACTAGTGATCATAGACAAAGAATTGTCAACAGAACTACTTGAACTATATTACATTATATAACGGTAACAAAGGAACAATTCTTTAATGCGAAAATAAATGTTGAAAAAAAACTGCTCGTAACCAAGAAACCGGACTATCATGTTGACCAGAGTTTCAGCCTTTCTTCCTCGAGCTCAAATCGCTCATTCATTTATTTCCATTTCTTTTAAATCATTGGCGTGGGCTGACACAATGAGGGGAATTTTATTTTACTATTCCTTCATATGAGGGTATGAATCAATAAAAGTAAAAAGGTCAATATATATTACCTACAAAATACTATAATTGATATGAATGCCATTCTCCAACCGGCAAATTTCCCAAGTGAAACACATATAAGCAAGCAAAATTAATTAGAACCTAATGTCTGTAATGAACAATCATTATGCTGTTGCAGAATTTGTTCTGAACAATGTTTGGCGCAAATCACAACCAGCCAGCTAAAGCCACTTGTTTAGCAAATATATACTTTTGGCAAGTCAGACGATATGACTGGGCATTTTTTGCTTACTGGTGATTGTCCGCTATTTAACCGATTCGAATTGACTAGTTTTAATCTGTATACACTGCTTGATAAAAATCCTATTTATTTTAATTTGAAATGCTTATCTTACTAAATAGCTACATGTCACTAAATAGCCACATAGTGACCACATAGTGACTAAATAGCCACATACACGTGCAGTTAATATGCACAAACCTGGATTGCTCATTCCTTTATAAAGTGGAAGATTGATGGCCCTTAAAACAATAACCGTCAGTCTATCAAGAATAGGATAGTGAGCCAATGACACGTGAAGATCTCCAAGCTTCGATTCAACCTGCACCGAAAGATAATATGAAATGAAATATACACCTTTCCGTAGAAAACGTTTTTGTCGCATTGACTAAAACTATAGCAGAAAGTAGTATGCAAGAATGCAAGTAAGTGACGAATATAATTACTGTATGATCAATATATATGAATTCGAGTTGAAAGTCACAATCCTACCTCCGAAAGCGTTTCGAAATCACGCCAAATTTCCGAACCGCCGAATGCCTCATCTTTTAACGAATATAAAACGTGACCAATGACGTCACCACGACGGCCTTCGCCATGATCATAGACGGAAAGCCGAAGGACGCGCTGACGCAGATGATCGCGGGCTACTTGAAAGTTGAACACTTCGCAAAAATTTGGATTCCGAGTTTTTCTTTTGACCTCAGTCTGATGCTGACAGCGGTCATCCGGTAGAAGGTACAGACGTACCTGAGGGTCGGGAGGCACATTAGAATCATCTCGGTTAGGCAGATGACGTATTCTAATAATGTTTACTTGGAGCTTTTCTGTAGCAGATTGGTAGTCTGTCCGAAACCAGATACGACCAATGTGACCCAACGGATAGTTTGTTTCGTCTTTGATATCCTCTTGCCCCGCGTCGATTCTGTCTTCTAAGAAAAACAGAAATAAAAAATATATTGCACTAACTGGAAACTGTAGCGTAGCCAAACGGACAATTATGTCAGTTCGGGGGGCCTCCACGATATTATTTCGCGCCTTTTAAAAGTAATTTTAATTACGCAGCCTTCTTTCGAATTTTAAACCCAAATATTTTAAAAGCCACTGTCATTTGAGATCATTATTATCCAGAATGAATACAAAAATATTATGTTTAATCTTTCTACAATTTCGTTAAAAAAATCCACCATTAAAGACTTAGAACACGTCATTCTTTTGGACATAATTTGCAAGTTATAGACTTGCACGTCTTAATTTATGGCAGACAGTTATCGAAATGATCAATAGCTTTAGTTTTACTTTCGCTGCCATTATAGTATCAGGTATACATGCGTAGGTGGCAAGCTGCCTAGAAAAAAAATGTACTCTGTGTCAACGATAATGGTCTCAGACTTCGAAAGCGGTAATGACTTCTTAATGAATATTTCTCACGCAAGAAGCACCGAAAGGTTTACGCGTTATCTAGAAGCGTAAATACAACCGAGTTAGGGCAAATATTGAACTATATATATAGTCTCGCAACGAATACACGTAAAATTTACGTTTTTCTTATGTTAACCTTTCCACCCGCATGTCTCCTACATCTAAGGCAATGAAGAAACATTTCTTAAATATTTAAATACTGGTGAATGTTTCCAAATAAGTAAAGCAAATAGAATGATCCTATAGCTCACTTCATAAGGCGCTGCGGTTTACAGATATATATAAGACGCGCAACTTGAGTACTCCTAATCTCATTTCCTTGTTCAGCTTTCATACCGCCTACGTCTTTAAAAGCTTTAACTTCCCATACAACACGCGAATTTTCAGCAAAATTGCGTAATTAACTTCAGGGAAATTTTGTATTAGGGGTTCGTATAATGACGCAAAACTACATTTATATAGACTCGATTAAACCGCGAATCAAAATTTCTGCGATAAAAATTTGGAATTATGCCTAAGTATATAATTCCTATAAATCCGCAGGAAATATTTGAGTGAGTCAAAACGGTTTTAGTTTCAGTCAAGCGTCGATTTTAGATATTTTAGTCTGGTATTCGCAACAATAAAATACGCGCATGCTTTGACATGTAGACACAGCCAAATAAGTAAAATAGCTATGAATATGCATGTCTTTACCGCCAAAACGCCAAATCATAATAGGCAATAAGATGGGGGCCTTTCCGTGCACGCGCGTGTAATATATGTGACTACCCGCTGAATATACATACCGTCTGTGTTGTTTGCGACGATTACATCCTCTTTCGACGGCGAATTATTCTTTCGCCGCCGCGGTGAGCTCCAGTCAAATCTTTGCACCAGTTCATTCCCGTCAAAACCTTCTTCTTCGCTTGAGCTATTTTCCAGCATATTGTTATTATTGATGTTATTATAGGTCGTCCGTCTCCCGAGCCCGGACTTACTGTAGTCCGGCGCAGCGGGAATTGGCCCGGAGCTGGTCAACTGATGCGTCGACGTCTGCACCGTGACCGGCCGATGTTTGACGGCACGTGACGGCGACTTCCGATAGCTTTCCGATGAATTTTTTCTCCTTCTCCGGAAAAATATGAACATTAAAATGGCGCAGATGAAAACAACAGCAAACACTACAATACCTGCGATCGCTGGCGTTGATACTGAAATTAGGAAAATGATGAAGTGTCAAGGCTGGAATTGCGAAAATTTGAAAAATTTTTATCAGAGGACTTCATGCATTGCTATATTCCTCGTCCCTCCAAAATGAGTTTTAGGCGACTATACCATGCAGCGTGCACTTTGGAAAATATAGCTATAACTAGATATTGATATAAGCCCGATGACTTCTAATAGGCTGAACCGATAACTATACAGTGGTAAAGGGTTTTCTGAGCAAGGAGCTGAAATACTTTTTTGACCCCAAAAGTTCGCCTGTATTTGTATACCAAGGTGTAGCTAATGAAAATTTCTATTCAGAGTAGATGTTTCAGGACTTAAAAGAAAATAAATATTTAAAAAACAACAACTGCCATTGAGCGAAAAAAATCAGAATCGGTATATCGGTTATTAATTTTGTATTTCCCAATACACCTTCATGCAGCTTCAATAGTCACATTCTGCTCATAGCTCAAGTAAGTAACCACATTCACCGTCAATGCCTTCCAGTTTACTTTTATACTAAAGGTAAGGTAAGGCTAGATCGCACATTCGCTTTGATCACACATCTAATAATTTTATAAGCTAATAGCGGCCATTTCGAATGGGCTCAACTTATATTGTGAGATATTTTAAACTTGATTTCATAATATACATGCAAGATATGAATGCACTGGAAAATGTATTTGCTTCACAGGTTATCTATAATTTAACCCCATGCAATTGCACACCGCGGTCCGTGGAGGCAAGGTGGTTTTCTATTTGCCGCAATACGAATGGTTTTTTAGGCCGCGGCTTTCAAGAATTAAGTGCGCCCGGTTTAATCCTTAAAACAGATAAAGTATATATATAGTTTAGAAAAAAAAGGGCTGTCTGCTATGCAAATTACATGACCCGTGCATCGTTTCGACAGCAGTTTGAACTATACGAAATTTTATCACGGGCATGCACGATATAACAAAAATTGTATCGTGGTCTCGCTTCGTATGCAGTATATATATATATATTTATATATATATATATAATTATATATATATATATATATATATATATATATATATATATATATATACGACCCATGCTTTTTTAGAACTACAATCAAATGATGGCTATAAATATCACGCATTAGCTTTTAGAAAAACCCGCAGAAACTAAAAACGCTCTTTTAATATTTTTTTAAAACCATTCTCAAACACTGCAGCACGTGTAATTTTGATCAAAACAACTGATTAATTATGTATCCGAACTCTTTGAATAAGGACCTTCACAAGCCTGTTTTTACTTCAATTACCGTATCGCAGTGAACTATAACGACTTCCACGATACTTTAATATATATATATACTATATTGCAACAGTATAAAACCATCATCATGCAATATTCTGCTTTCCCTAACTAATAGCTACGGCAGGGAAAATTCAAATTTTATTGCAATTAAAGTACGGTATAATCAGTTGCAAATAATATCCTACGCGCGCATACTACGCGAGCCTCGTGATTCCTAGGCAACGATGTTGGGCTTTGAAACGTTTGGGATATGATTTCACCGCGTGATAAATCCATATCGCGAAATAATAGGGGTCTCTTAAACCATCACGTTCACAGGGCGACGGAATATATCAGTAAAAGGGAGATACCGAGCAAGCAATTTAGAAAATTTAGAGCGCGTATTAATTTTGATATTTAAAATCTGCTTTATTCAGCTTATCACGCAGTTAACATTTTCACATTAATATATGCATATGCTATCCTCAAAGTTACAGTTTCATGAGTCTTAAAATTTTGATTATTAATTTCTAAATACTACGACTTCTAAATATGAATTTTTATCGAGGTTTCAACTGCTCTATATAAAGTATGAATTTATATAAGTAGCATGGAGCGGAAGTAGCATAGTAAAGAACGTACAATGGTTTGTAAAAGAAGTAGTATATAAGTCTGCCTACATGGCTGTTACAGCCCAACGGCTGTTTGGAGAAATTTGGTAAAGTTTCTATAACTAATCTATGTATATAAAATATGTTCAACAACGAACAAAACAGGACCAAAGCAATACAAAAAACCCCTATACATGCAACTTGAGTTGATGTATATGCGAGTCTTGTACACTAACCGAATTAAGAGGATATAATACAATACGAAATTATATACATAATATAACACGTGGCATTAACTGAAAACATTGATATTATTTTGTAAAAACCTTTTACATGCACATAGCTATATACGCAACTATATATGAAACAATTTAAGTGTCCTACCCGTGCCGAGAACGCCTAAGACACCAAGCTGTCCATTGACACGTCACAACAGAGACAAAGTCAAAGATCATAAAACGCGTCACTTACGTGTAGTTTCTTTGTTATCAACGGCTGTCTTCTTAACGGTCCTTCTGGGAACCTCGTCTTGAAGATATTTCGAGTCGGACAAACCGCCAAACTGTTGTTTTGGTCGCATAATTGTGTGAAAGACGGCAAGTATATTCAGCTGACTCAATACCTCGGTGACATTTCGTAAAGACTCGAAGCGATGTCATATCGTGTATGCGTCTATATCATTTGTCCCGGCCACCTGTCGATATTGATGCTCTAATTCAAAGCACTCCGCATCAACTATACTTGCTTATCAGTATGCAATAAACTATATATGCTAATTTCTCTCACGATTGTAAAGTAATGAGAAGCATATTGATCGAAAGAAGCGTCTACTTATTGTCACTGTATAAATACGACTAACTTATATTACCCCGGAAGACGCTAATGATTTAGTGAGCGCGTGCAACCGAGTGATTGCAAGCGCCAGTCTGTAAGCGTGGCGAGAAAGGGTTCATTTATGTTCAAATATTTCATATTTGCAACATTTTAGATATGTAATTATCCCTATACATTTGATAATTTGAATATAAAAACAAACTTATGCATGCATGCATGCACGAGCGAATATACTTCGTGTTAAACACAAGACAATGACGTTTTAAAAAATATGGATCTTTAACGGAATTAAAATCTGTTCCCAAAAAAGTCTTAAAGCATCAACTTTCTCTTTGCAAATTCACATACATCCATGCATGCAAGCAATTTGCTCAAAATCGAGGGAGCAAGCTTTCTGTAATTTGCGGGAATTGCAAGGAAGAATTTTTTTATCAGAATTGGCGGATGAGATTTCTGCCCAAGTGTTCTAGAGACCTATATATATGTATATATATAGTTCACTTATAGTAATTCCATGCATGTCCCGCTATATATATACCACAATTATATATAATCCTAACTTTAAAATACAATCCATAATCCTTACCCAACCAGAAACTAACATTGAGGTTACAGTGTTACGTATATTTTTATATTATTTTTAAATTTTTAATAATTGTATATATAGTTAAATTAACAACCCCAGCGTCTACGCGACGCGGCGCTGTAGGGTGTAACTGTTATTATAAATATGTTGAAATAATAATATAATAATAATAATAATATTCCATGAACCTATATAAGGGACAGAATACAGCAATATATATGCATGCACACGAGCGACGTTTTTTAACGTTTCCAAAATCCTTTTTGGCGTCTTGAAAGGTTTTGACGCCCCTGGGCCAGTTACTCTTTAGCTACATTTTGCATAGAGGTTTAAGGGTCCTAATTTCGAGTGGAATTATACACAAAAGCGTATGTTCGATTTCTGCCGGAGAACCTATAGTTGACTCATTTTTCTTTCAACTGTTTCCGGCTTGAATTTAAGTTTGTAAAATTCCACTCGAAATTAGGACACTTTAAACCTCTAGAATTTACCTGCATCGAGTGAAGTGCCAAAAATCTTAATACATTTTGCACAGTTAAATCCTAGTTAATTCAGAATTACACGACTCTGACAATTAAAAAGTTAAATAGTCTTTTATACAACTGGCCCCTGTTCCCATGATCCGAAAGGGTAAAGTGCTTATTGAATTAGTTTTAACCTCAAAATGATGGTGTATATATATGCGCCTGTTTATAGCGTGGAAACATCAACGAGGACGCTCGAAAACTTCACCATGTAGACTCTGGACACGGAATTATTACCTATATATATATATATACTTTATAGGAAATTTTATTGTACATGTGCTGAATGATGTAATTTATTACGACCTAAATACAGACTTGGATTTTTATTTTATCTCACTATATTTTGCCCGCTGAATGATGTGATTTATTATTATCTATACTAAAAATCATTTCCTAAATTTGTGACCATTTTATTCATGTCTATGATTTAAAGTTTTAAAACAAACATGGCGGGAACATTTCCTAAATAAAGTGTGAAAATGATTGACGAAATGATTAGATTTAGATATAGCTGTGCTTTGAAGGAAATTAATATCGCGGAAACATTTCCTCAATAAGCTCTAAATAAAATTGATAAAATTAATAGATATATAGCTATGATTTAAAACAATATGATGGCTGGACAGCTCCTGAATTTATTTGTGTATATACATTCATGGGACATTTGTAAAATTGAGTATGTTAAGTCAGTTCGACGTGAGACATGGAAACAAGATTTATTTCCATATTCAAAATTTAATTTTCCGTTAATTTATGCTGCTTTTATAGCCTTTAGAATCTAAATTAAGAAAATTAATAGGAAGTAAATTGACATGCGTTTCAAAAATTCGACCTCATGTTCAATAAAGCGATTATTTTTGTCAGTGCAAAGTACTCAAGACTGTGACTTGAGAATTTTTGGCCCGCATCTGCATGTCCTAGAGCATTGGAAAGGACACGCATTTCAACTTTTGGATCTGCTTTTTTAGGAAAATAATGCTTAATCGAAGGGTTTATTACATCTAAATTTAATCTTCGTTTATTTATGCCCAATATTCTCGAATAATAAGCATCACGCGAGCTTAGAAAGTGGCACTAGAACCCTCTGCGAAGGTCTGCTGCACTATAAGTATAGCTTCTTAAGATTGTGGTTCTCCTAAGTCTTGTTTAGTCTTCAGCGTTCGTTTATAGTGAACAGGCAAACTCGTTTAGCATGTGTATAACTTTAATTTTACGCAACCCGTTGTCTTTCTTATGCATTATATAGGTTCTCTGACATGAATCACATGATAAGCGACTGAACACGAGTAGATGTTTACCCACATTGTGCAAAAGTTTGTCAAGGGTAAACACACTTTGTTAGTTAAACCAAGTCTTCACACTGGTAAACACGATCCACGACCGAAAAGCGCAGCAAAAATGGTGCCTTGATAATCCGCCCTCGGTACAAAGCTCGCAAATATGCCATCGTTAGAGCTTTGAAAAGCTCTTCATAAAATATATAGGAGCAACAGGAATTCAACCTGGACAAAGATGAGATACGCATTACGCAAAACATTCACTTTGAACCCAAAAGACTAGATGCACTGGCACGATCGAGTGTCCAATTTCCACACAAAAACCACCCGTTATCTAAACACAACCAATTGTATGTGCGCGCTTGATTCACCCTACTCTACAACATTTTCACCCACTTGTTCCTCGCGTTCCTCATTGTCCACATTTACCAAAGAAATTCCTTTGCGTTTAGGAATGACGTCATAAAAAGAACGTTGCCAGTCTTTCGTTTCAAGATACTTGAGCATGATTTCAAACACTGAAAGATTATTATGTTTAAATGTGAATTATGCAATGCGAATAATTACATTTTAACAGTGTCGAATAAATAGGTCTCTTGAATAAGTACTGGGGGCGTTGTTTGAAAGGCGTTTAGCTTACTAGCTTACACGGTGGATAAGCTAAAGTTTAAAAATGCTCTCATATACATGTTAAGATTTAAGAATGACTTAACCAACATCTTATGCATTAAATCATTATATATACTTCAATTCAAAATTAAACTATTTACATCGAAATATTTCAGCTCGGTTAAATAGATAATTTTGTTCTCCATTTGAAACTTACCGCCGTTCAAGCTAGACCCCAACAACCGGCCACAGTACTAAAGTAGCTCAATAACAATTGCTTCGACTAAGAGCATTGTTTTTCGAGCATGCAGTTAGTCCAATACTGTTGTGCTTACCATGATTAACTGTCAGTACATTTCTAGACTGCAATTTGACGAAGTTACCGATTGGTAACTGTGCATGATTAACGTGATTTTCCACAGCAATTTTATGACACAATCCCTAAAATAGAAAAACTATGATTAGAACCCGACCGTATGAACCTACCGTTATTTGATATACCAAAAATATTTTAAAAATGTTGCATGGGTGTATATAATATAACAGCAAGCACATTCGGTCAGATTCACCCTCATGACCAAAACTTTTATATGCATAGGGCTATTCCAATGTGTGTGTGGAGTTATGGGATTGTCAATGAGAATTTAGAATCTATAAAACTTTGTATCAAACACTTTAGCCATTTTTCCTTATATCTTGCCTAGTTCTCAAAATATGTCAACCGAAATAAGAGAGCTAGGGGATATCTTGGATAGTTGCATGGGGGTGTGCAGGGTTTCCAAACGCTTTTATCCCCGAGCCGGCGCGAAGCGCCGTGCGAGGGTACTAATTCCGCTGGGAGATTTATTACACCCGGGTATTGTGACAGAACATAGCGGAATCCAAAGTTGCTCAAATTCTATGTCGTGGACCGTGGACGTTCAATGGTCATGGTACTTGTGCGCATGCGCGGAATGCGAACGCGTGTAGACTGGTAATCAACGAACGTTCTGATTGGCTAAGACAGAAAGTTTGTATTTCAATGAGAACGTCAGCAATTTAACTGTAATTTCGTAAACATTTTTGTAAAAGCGTTTCATAAACTTTGTGCAAAGAAAGTAAAACGAGAAGAAACAAGATATATGAAGCATGACAGATAGCAAAGATGAACGTGGATACAGTAAAAAAAAAGCAGTGTAAGAGGAATAATTCATAATCTGCAAGCTTATAAATGTTTTCAAAGACAAAGGGTACGTGTTTACTTTGTTTATTTCGTATTTGTTTCGCGGTAAGAATGAGCCGTATTTGTATACTTTTCAGCTTTGTATGCCGTTTATTTGTTAAATTTTCAGCTTTTTATGCAAACACATAAACCTGTGAAAGGCTCTTACACCTTTGCTTTAACTTCAAAAAGTGTTTTTCAAAGTGTAATTTGAATTTTGGTATCAAAAATACACACTATATTTATAAAGTATACTGAAACTTTTAGCCGTCGGCGTCGACTGCAATTACAGAGTAAAATAACATTTGCAGTTTTTTCTTTGTCTGTGAAGATTTTGTAGTGTTTTAATCGTTTGAAACTTCGATTTCAAACCGTTACTTAATTGCTGGCAAGGTATAATGCTGCAAAATTAAACGGGCAATATTTACACTAGCTTTATGATTTTTTTGTTGAATGATGGAAACATTAGCTATACTATACTTGGTATATAAAATATAATAAGACTGATTTGAGTTTTGTGTCATTTAATAATATAAGTTTAGGCCAGGTTAACTCAGGAAATTGTGTACTTGGTTTGAAATAGCGAGGGGTTACTGCATGCATGTATTTCTAGTCTAGACATTATCGAAAATCCGTGGATTTTCCTTCATCACTGCATATAAGAAATGATAGTCTATCTGAAAACATTTAAAAGATTCAGTAATTGTTCTTCGGTTACGTCGTTAGAACTGCATTGTAAACAATGTGTATTACCATTCACTTTATAATTTTGATTGGTTAATTTACCTCCAAGTAACTGCATGTAGTCAATAGTCTGAGCATGCGCATTTGGTGAAAGTAGGCTGAATTGGGTTTTAAGTAGGCTTGCTGGATGAGTACCAGGCAAAGCAAGTCATGGGAATCATGCATTTGTTGATCATTGGTCGTTTTGACGGACGCGAGATTTTGGATACGACCTACAAGTTGTTTCTTGTTCCTCCTTATTCATCCAAGTTGCTTTGTTACATGAAGCATAAATGGCGCTGCCATGGGGTAGAAATATTCGACAATAAAGTTCGAAGTGCTGTTGGAATTGCGGCCATAAATGACGTATGAAAATTCGACATAAAAAGAAATCAATGTATTGAGATGCCACCATTATACCATCCCTCCTTCATGGCGAATCTCGTCGTGACAAGACCATGTTGTTGATTGGAGGGATCGGCAATACTGACAAACGTATCAATGAGATCATCGAGTACGATCCTAAAACTAGCCGGAGCAAAGTTCGTTTGGTTCATAGAAAAAGAACGAGCTGGTTGTTCGGCAATCTTATATGAAAACAGGTTTGCTGTGATTGGTGGTTTGGGTGACGATGCAAATGCAGTAGATTGTTTCAACTTTTTATCAAATTCTTGGAAAAAATTACCTCACTCTGAAGGCGTCAAATACTTCAGCAGTGGTTGTGAATAGAGTTCTGGATTCTGAGAACTGCCAACTAGTTATATTACAAATAATGACCGTAAAATAGCAAGAGGTGATATAACCAAAATTTAATCGAATTCGATCATTTTTTAATTAAAAAAAATGTAATTGTAATATCAATTGGGCTTTTCGGCATTTGAAAAGAAAGTATTTCATATTTTTAGTCTAAATGATATGTGTTGGTGCCATAAACATTAAACTCATGTTTTCACATTGGAAATTTTAGTTTGCGCAAAATTCGCTTCCAAACTGTAAAACAATAGCCCGTAAATCATCTCTTCCTGGCCCACGTGAAAGCTCTATAAAAAACCTTTGATTCGCACTTGAGAGAATGTTTCTGAATTTGATATAAAACATACAGCTGTATGTAACTAATGTAAGACAACTGTAATTTACATCTTGGAAACAGTCGATGAAAGTTTATTATGCACTTGTTGGCTGGTGTCAACCACGCATGAAAGCCAAATTTTATCGAAGTATTTAGACAAAAAATTCTATTATAATGCACTAGGGTGAGTTGTTGCTCATTGTGTATAAAACATACTCTGTAAGGCGAATATACAGGTAAGAATAGGTTCATGATTCTTCAGAGCTGTACGACTTCGTTTAAACGATTGAAAAGTGCTATTTTGTCACATCATATGAAACACAATTGAGCTTTGTTATTTCTAATGACCCGAGTATTTTTATGATTAAAAGTTTCATACAGACGCATCAAAGTAAGTTGCAAAACATGCATCAGATTAATTAGCATTACTAATGCCTTTCACGGGTTATTAACCGCACGCCACGTTTACATTTTCGAGAGCGTCTGATGCGCCATCTGGAATCATTATTATGAATTCATAATTTCGCATTTTCTCGGAAGAACAATTCGGAGTTCTCAGTGAAACTTTGAAAACACAACTAACAAATCACTCCGTGTTTTGAAATCTTTCGCCAGACTAAACGGCTAGATGTGACTATATTTTGACGTGAAGAAACATATGGCTTCAGGTTACGACACAGCACGTTTAAAATCATTCTTCGACGAGGGTTTTGTTTGCTCGATCTGCCTTGGCGTTTTTAAAGATCCAATGCAATGTGAAAACAACGAACATTATTTTTGTTCCGGATGCATCATGGAACATCTAGAGAAGACCTCGCAAACTTGTCCAATCTGTCAAGATAAACTGACCGTAGAGACGCTGAGAAAAGCACCGAGAATTGTCGAAGATTGTGTGTCTCGTTATAAGATTGCTTGTGACCACGAAGGAAGAGGCTGTCCTGCGGTTCTCGAGATCGGAGCTCTACAAGCACACATCCGGACCTGCAGCTTCACGCCTGTCTCTTGTTCAAACGATGGGTGTGATGATGTCGTTAACAAACAAGAGACTGAGTTATGTCGTTGCAAGACGGCAACCTGTGATGATTATGGAGAGAGAATGGCCCATGGCATACGACGAGATGTCGATACAACTGCAATTGAAAAGCTTGAAAGTCGAATTGAAAACAGAGTGGCTCATTCTATGAATTGTGATATTGTTGTCATCGCGGGTCAAGATCTCAGAACATTAAAACCTCTATCTTCCATCGAACGATTCAATCTGTTCAACCAAACCTGGACAACACAAACCGAGTTGAAAATAGCTAGACGGGGTCATGCGGCTGTTGTATTTGAGAAGCAACTCCTTGTTTGTGGCGGTTTTACCGCTGTAGCTGGCGATGAAACCACAGATAGTATAGAAGTACTGGATTTGAATCGTCATCCACCAAGATGGACGACGTTTTCTGTCAATCTTCCTATTAAAGTTGCAGCTCACAAGTGCGTCGTTCATGGGAATCATTTGTTGATCATTGGCGGGAATAACGGACGCGAGATTTTGGATACGATCTACGACTTGCTTCTTGTTCCTCCTTATTCATCCAAGTTGCTTTCTCACATGAGGAAGAAACGGTTCGCACATGCCGTAGAATTATTCGATGACAAAGTTCTCATTGTTGGTAGATTTGGGATGAAAAATGAGGTGGAAATATTCGACATAAGAAGAAATCGATGCATTGAAATGCCCCCATTGCCATGCTCTATTTGGGGAATGGCGACGGTTCGTCGTGATGAGACCATGCTGTTGATTGGAGGGATCCGTGGGGAAGGGAGAAACAGCAATGAGATTATTGAGTATGATCCTAAAACTGGTCAGAGCAAAGTTCTATTGGTCATGGAAAAAGAACGATTGGCTTGTTTAGCTGTCTTAGCTGAAAACAGGCTTGTTGTGATTGGCGGTAGCGTTGAGGGCGATGCAAATGCAGTGGATTGTTTCAACTTTTCATCAAATTCTTGGAAGAAGTTGCCTTCGCTCACCCAGGAGAGATACCTTGCTTCAGCAGTTGTTGTGAATACTAATAGTTTTCTATTTTGTAGTTACGTTTGAAAGAACGACCGTAAAATAGTAACTGAAGTGATATACGCAAAATATAATCGAACAGACATTATTTGTCGATCATTTAATTAAGAATATATAATCGTAATATAATTGGGTTTTTGCCATTCCATAAGAAATTAAATTAAAATTATTTTTAGTCAGAATAATAAATTTCGTTTGCGTAAAATCGAACAGACATAAGTCATGAGACATTTGATTAAGAATATATAAACGTAATATATACTATAAGCGGGTATAATTCGGCATTCCACAGGGAATTCTTTTTTATTGATTTGTAGTTAGGTAGAATAAAAAACTATTACAGCTGTATTAAAACATTACACTTAGCATAATCCCGGCTATAATTATCATGAATTCCATGCACAAGGTTTTGGTTTCCGAAACATTTCTTTCTAAATTTAAAACAATATCCTGCATGCTTTATAAATCACCTGCTCCCCCCTGGCCCCACTTAAGACCCTTTCATTATTCCTGAACTTTCATTTAACAAATCACCTCCCACCAATAAAATTGGGCCCATCCTATAAAAACCTTATTCATGAAACCTGTAGTGGAGGACAGAGTTGGTCAATCAGAGTCGCGTATTTCTGAGTTAACAAGGGTTTAACTTTTCAAAATGTACATAGTTGAAAAGTTTTGTACAACTGACCCCTGTTCGTTTTTTAGTGTGTACCGTAATGTCAACGGTTTGTACAATTGACCCCGGTTCGTTTTTTACAGTAATGTAAACGGGCCTCAAGATTCAAAGAATTGGCAAAAGGGTTTTAACTATACGTACTTTTTAATGAAACAAACTAAATTTTCGTTGCCCATGTACCCATTGACGAAAAAATATAACAATCAACTCACTTTGTGATGGTTATGATCCACAAGACCGCCGATAATGTAGGCTTTCGTCAGGTCAATGTCTGTAAAAAGAATAATTTATTAGTGTTACAAAGCTAGATGCTTTTGGCCTCAGCAAATATAATCAATATACGTTGTCCCGTGGGAATTTTGTAGGATATTTCGGGCGATTTCAGGTGGCGGGCTGAGAAACGAATTACGTTGGAGAGAACTCGCTGAGTAATTTCCCGTGATATTCTGCAAAGCATTTAAACATCGCAGATACTGGTGCTTAATTATGAAGTTTCAACCTCTGAAGAAAATCTAATCACTGCAAAGAGTATAACTTTAAAAAGTTGAATTTTTCTTCTGAATACGCATTCTGCAATCTTTTGACAGGTCATCATACACATCTCACAGTTGTGAAATGGCCATTTTGAGGCTTAAAGTAGCTATATTAATTCAGACGATTCGTTTATGCCGTGCGCAAGCTTCATATGAATCTTTCGTGCAAGTAATATTTTATTTCAGTATTAATCAACAAATTACGACAGCTGATATTCGGATATATCGCCGTATATCGCGCTTACGTTATTCGCATTTGCTGCAACGGTATATAGATTATTTTTTTTAGTATGAATTTCGAGGTGTCTATTGATTTGAGCCCGAGGTAATCACATCAAGCTCGGTGAATACAAGCTTTTATAGGCTTCTAATCACCTCGTCTTGGGCGACTAATTGCTAAATATCACTCATATTCACCGGTAAATACGATTCGCGAACTTCGTACGACTCTACACGCAAAGACAAAATGAAGAGAACAGTGTTGTTATCAGCGTGAAATCAAGCAATTACCAATTCTGGTGAGGAATAATGAACCGTATTCTCGACGAGAAATGTACTTAAAATACAAAACTTCTGTAAAATGTATGTATTTTAACAAACCTTTTAAAACGTTATCGGAGTCTGATGTAAGATAGACAACATCGTCTTTCTTGAAGACATCAAGGTATCCTTTACTTTGAACGTGAATCTACATAAAAACGAAGAGTTGGTATAGCCTCCGTTGAAACTAAAACGGTTGGATATAGCACGTATAGCACGCCTATCACAGAAGCACAGAACAAATATATATTGCTACATGTTTTTCACTATACACGAGGCTCTCACTTTCGTTATTTTCAAAATGAATAGCAATGGGAAAACACTATACAATCTATAGTATATATACGCTCAATTTATTGCCATTGGCATTGCACGAATAATGAATCGAGTGTTATATGAATGAGGTTTAGTTATTTGCATTTAGGTACTGCATGGAGCTCGGGTTTTTTTTAAAGGAAAGCTTAAGGGGTTGTCGTGATGACACGGTTTACTGAGAACTGTACTTTTCAGTTTCAACTGTGTCTGCGAGTTATGTACATCTCGCAAAAATTATCAATCTACGAGAGACAACCTGTTTACATAGGATAAACTATGACATGTATGCCTATAGGCTATAGGACTGATCGAGACATTCTGTTTTGACTAAGGAAAACCCACGTGATTTTAAATGTGCTATGTAGCAAACGCTATTATCAGCAGGCTGTCTCTTACAGAGTGTCTCAAAAGCATTAAATATTGAGCCAAACGATTTGATTATTAAACAGCAAGAAAGAGGCGTTATTTAGGTTTCTAATAGTTTTTGTTCCATAATCACTAGAAATGACCAAATTCGAAGACCATATTCTTTACTTTACAGGCTGGGAATTGAACAGACAATCTGATTGGCGCAAACACGCTCACATAAATTCACCTTTGTTTCGTCTTGCCTTTAATCGGGCAAATTATATTTCCATGACTAATTTTCATTTTAAAAGTATTTTATAATTTCTTGCTGTTATGAACTGAAGAAAAATATCACTGGGAAGCTAAATAATTGCTCTTTCATACTGCATAAGAATTAAATCATTACTCAATATTTCCTTCGTCTAACATAGACCGGGGAGACGGGGGGCTGCAAATGTAACTATTTTGGCCTCTAAAATTAGTGAAATAAAAGTCACACAGTAACTAGCTATAACATTTGGGACTTAGCTACTGTAGCAACACTCTCTGATACGCTCTGCAGGCCCTGCCTAAATACAGTTTATCGTATCATATAACGCGCGTACACATATATTCAACCAAAATCGGAAAATAACACATTTGTCTCGTCTACAAAACTGATACACAGTAACAGTATACTGCTCAGAATACACCCTTGCACGGGTCCTGTCCATAAAACGAGTGTCCATTATTGGACTGCCATTTGTCCATAAATGGAGAGTTTGAATGCGTGCCACATAAACAGGCATTAAAATAAGCCACAAAGCTAACGATACGTAATTTGACGCCTGCGTTTTTTCGAAAACAAAAAGGATGTTCAACGGTCTGGATAAATTACCTGTTCTTACTTACATCCCAATTTTTGTATTCTTTGTAGATTTCCTCGGTAATCGATTGGATATTACCCGCAAAACTGGTTAAATAAAGCTAAAGTAATAAAGGAAAAATAATGTAGCTACTCTTCAATTGCAGTTTTATAGAGGTTAAAAAAAATGACATCCTATTTTACCCTTCATATGTCCTCCTAAAGGTTGGGGGGAGAGGGTAGAGTTAGGCAGAGGCAAAGTGATGCAGGCAACATAACTTGCCCTGGGCTAAAGATGGGCACAAAAAAGATTAAACATTGCCCACAGAATAAAAAAAGCCTCTGTAATGACCTACAGAGTGAACTATATGTTTAACATTGGAACAGGGTTGTAGGGCTGGGAAGAACATCTCTATATATTCAAGAAATTCACAACACCCCTGATGTACAATAGGAGTTTGTACACACTCTTTTCAAGGCAATACAGCTGCATAATGTGCTTATTTTATTATTACTTTAACTTCAAAAACATTACCTGTACAGGGTTAGGGGCTTTCCTATTCAAAGCATAGCAGGATTTCACTTGTTTTAAAAGCTTCTTAATTGACTAGAGAAAGAAAATTAATGGCTAACTAAGCAATTTCCACGTAATACAAAAGAAATATTAACTGAAACCAACTTACAGTGTCATCCATGAAGGCTTCAAATGACATGTCAATGACAATCCTCACAGGTAAAGCCTCATCACAATCCATTTTCTTGATCCCTTTCCGTCTTGAAGCTGAATAAATTGGACAATGGGCTTTTGAATCACACCACAACTCCAATACACTCATTTTTTACCACAATTTTGAGAGGATTTACCAGGGGCACAACACTCCAGAATGTCAGAAGTATGCTTTTGAGTAAATTGTACCACTGATCCTTTTAGCAAATTGAAGGCTTATTTCCGTTTAGCCCAATGAATGTGTACATGGCCTAGCAGTTAGGGGTAAGAGTATTTTTAATAATCTCTTAGTTAAAGATAAACAAATACCAACTTTATATTTTGAATTTGAAATTCATATATAGATATACTGCAAGGTACTTGAAAGAACTATTCATTCATATGTACAAAGGTACTATAGTTTGTGCCAATTGTGCCATATTGAAATATCTCTAGGAGGGATCGAGTTTTCTCTGCCCCCTCCCCGAAATTAATGCGTATAGACTCTCAATGCAAACTCTTCCCCTACCTCTATAAATATAATAGTACATTGACATTTAATAATGTTGAAGGCTAGTGATTCTGTCACATGTGGTATGTTCTAATTTTCCAATGCTTCAACTTACACCTTGACTTAGGTCCTGGTAACCCTTCTTCTTTAGCTTTTTTTAACCTCTCCTTCCTTTCCAACCTTAAAAATCAAAACACATTATATAGTGCAGAATATTAAATACAATCAAAATCAGTCCATGCTTGTCACTGGAGTTGAAAATTTACAGTTAAGGTATAAAATATATTCTCAAGATTTCTTGTTTATTTGAAATTTGTTCATTTTGCTTTAACATTTTGTCTAAAAACAGCAAATTATGTCTAAAAACAGCAAGTGATGCTATTGCTATTCTGCATAGTAAACTTCGTTAATTTCCTCATCTCTCAGCCTAGATGTTTAAAAATGCCAGTGTACATCATGTAATAAGCCTGGAAACCATTAGTCAATGTGCAAGTTGTGCTAATCTGATGACAAATATGGGGCAACTTGTAAACAATTATGAAACTTGATAAATGAAAAGACTTGTTACAATACTATTCGAACAAACATGATGTACCGGTAGCAATATATCGCTACAATCTTGTGTTAGCAAGTTTATGGCAATGTTGTTATATATATATATATATATATATATATATATATATATATATATATATATATATATATAACACAAGATGAGAAAACGCAGGTTACTTCATCGAAATTTTATCGAAATTTTATTGTGTTATGCCGCTCTGCATTAGCATTGAGCACTCTACCCAGACGATTTTGTATGCGCTAGTTTCTATCTTCACGATAGTTTCTATCACTACACCTGTATATATATATATATATATATATATATATATATATATGTACATATATATAAATATATATATATCATCACTGCCAGACGTATCAGACATGCCAGAACAATCTTGTTACAAGTTTGATAATGCCATTGGACTTATTACAATTTGTTATTTGTTGGGAACAAATCTTGTTGCAAGCTTGGATGTGAACAAACTTGTAAACAACTTGTTTGCAGACTTATTACAACTTGTATGCTTTTGTGTGTGTATACAATGTTGTTTAGAAACTAAATTTTCTCTGAAAAATTTGCAGGGAAATTAATTGCCACTTTGATGAGATTACATCAAATTTGCCAAGACATGATATCTTGTTGTCACACAAAAAATTTTCAGTTGTTTGCTACAGATTTGGCCAAGGATCCCCTACATATCGTGCAAATGATGAAGGAAAAACATATAAAATGTGTAAGTTTGCAATCACCAGTATTTAATATAGTTGAAAGGGGATGATTTTGATATTTTTCATTTTGATCAATACAAAGCCAGATCTAGACAGTCGAAAGGTGAATTTGCTGCAATGCTTACTTTTTCTTTTCTTTCCTCTGCAGCCATTGTTGATGTTTGAGCAGGCGCTTTCGTTTCCTCTTCGACAAAGTTTCTTCTGCCTGAACATCGGGAGTCGCAATTGGTTTAATTTCTTGGTTCGTACCGAGGTCTGGTCTATTATCTTTCTCTGTATGTTTCGATCCGTTATCCAGGCCGGCGAATTCTGCCATGATTTCTTTTTAAAAGGCCGAACATGAACTTTAAATGTTCTCGCGAGCAAATAATGCCATCTTTGACACTATGATCTTTCAGACATTTGATTATTTGAAAATCACAATCAAATGAATCAATAGTCAGATCGCATAATGATATTTTCGTTGCTGATCAGGCTTCCCTCATTGCGGGATATTCTTAGCCCACAATCAGGCGTCTCTTTGGCAACGCAATTTATTCCAATTAGCCTTTCTCATGATGACGATGTGCCGCCATTTTTCACAGTAACTCGGAGACCTTGCATGATATTTCTTTAAAACTTACTATGATCATGCCTGCTCTTCTCTTGCAAAAACCGAGTTTCAAGTCGAGATCGAAAGACCATGTGACTTGTCTGTCTCGGCGCATGGATTTGTGACAACAAGGTAACTTTGATGGGTTACTTTGGGAATGCAGTCTGAACCATCCAGTCGACACTGCTTGCTATTAAGACCTACGATCCCCGATAGCGTTAATGGCATGAACACTTGCAACCCAACTCGTTATTGGAGCAGATAAGACCACCAGCTTAGAGGCCTTCTTAGCGTGTCACTTAATTAATACCTCTGGGCAAGAACCCTGGCGTCAGACCGATTGGGATTGGAGAGGTTCTACGACGTGGATAATTGAAAAATCAATTGTCTTTGCCATCAAGCCACAAATAATGGATAGCGCAGGAGACGTACAGCTATGCGCAGGACAACAATCAGGCTGCGAGGCTGCTGTTCCCACCATCAGTCAAAGATTTTTTAAGAAGAAGAAACAGACCCTGTCTTACTGGTGGACGCTACCAATGCGTTCATTTCCATCAACCGCAAGATCATGTTACATAACGAATGATTATTATTCCATCATGATTCTACGAACGAATAACCGCACCCCCTCACAAACTCAGGGCCTTAGCTATCTTAGGCAAATTTAGCAAAATTGGCAAAATTCTGATGGTATTTCGACTTTATAAATACAAACGAGTGAATTAGTTACGGATGTTTAATCATCGGAGCATTCGTACCTTATGACTCGTTCACATATATCAAAAAAAGAAAATTGCAAATAAAATGGTAGCAAAAATCGCAGATGTAACCGGATCTCTGCGTAACAATAGCTGATAATAGCGTACGTTATATGACATTAAAAACGTTTTTGCCTTTTGGCAAAAATAAGCTGAAAGGACAGTAATTTCACACCGGTGTGTCGTTGGAGTGCCATATTATTTTGAAAAAATGCGACTACATAATTTGATGTCAGCATGCATGGCCACCAAAATAGCTCGGCTTAAACCACAACAAAATCTGACAACTTCTGAGAATGATATGCAAAATATTCATTAAAGCCTAAGAAATTGGCCTCTAAATTTGATTTAGTAGCACATTTGGGATAAGAATATTTTTGGAATAAGCTCAGGAAATTGAGGAAAAAACTAATACTTCTCAAGATGCATTAATGAGTAATGCCCACACGTATATTTTAATCGCCATGCACTTGGCCGCTGAAAAAGATGATCTTATTTAAAAGCTATAAGGAATTGAATCGAATTAAAGTCCTAGATTTATATCTGTAAAATATTAACCATTTTTATGCTGTTGTTTGGTCGACTGCAAGTTGACAAAATTTCAATGGCGTGAACATGTCATTTTCAACGATGAGAAATAGTCCGGATGTAAATTTGTCCTTATTTAAGTTATTTCTGTATGGAAATCTGGGTCAGATTACACATTGATTTTTTGCTTGCATGAAAATTTATTATGCCGCAGGTACGGCATAATTCTAATCAAAGTCAACAGTAATTAAAGGAAATGCTGCCGTCTGTAGGTCTAGAGTTATAGATAGCAAAGAAATTCTTTCGTAAAGCTCTTCGCCATTTTGACACCAAATGTGACGATCCCGTTTCAATTACAATACAACCATTGGCGACTGCCGCGAATTCCGTTGCACCGACATTCCCAGTCCCAGAAGTAACAGTCGTTACTGTTAGGAGCAATACAACGGCCGCCGGAGCTGTATCCAATGCACTTGCACTTATTTAAGCATTTCCGCGTAGCGAGGCGTAAAAAACCACCCACCATCGCATAAGGACTTTGTTGAATAGCAACCTTCCTTGTACGCCCGAGCTCGTGGCAAAAAAGCAAGAACGCCAGACAAAGCTACGAATAGAATCAACTGGATTCTTGTAGTAGACGCCATTTGAACTGAAAAAAAAATCAAAATGAGCTTTCATTATATGCACCGCCTTTTTGTGATTGCAGGAAAACATCTGTGCACGCGCAAAAATTAAGAAATATGCCGAAAAATGAGAACATCATCTATTGAAAGTTGTAACAAAAGATGCATATTAATGCACTAGATGGTGCCTTGCGAAATGCGAAGGTACTAATTCCGCCCGGAAAATTTTACAAGTACATCCCAGTTAACTCAAGTAAGACTGGAACGCCACTCTGTCGGAAGTTTGAAGCCAAGATGGTGAACACTGAAGCCTCTCTTGTAGGTATAATCCAGGCCTCCACGAGGAAATTTCGTAGGTAAAATGGCGGCAATTTTTATTTTTCCTTTGAAATTTCTGCGCCATAGGCGTAGATCATACCTACAAGAAAGGCTTCACGATCCGCCATCATGGCTTCACTCATTAATGAGGGAAAATCAGAGAGTGAGCGTTCCAGTTTTATTTCAGTTCACTGGTACACACGGGTTGCGAATGATAAATTGAAGTTATATGCCATTATGTTACAGACGTTGATCGTTTTCTGAGTTTTGCGTTTCTCCGAATTTAAGCTGTACTAAAACATTTTCGATTTTAAAGCAATTTATTGTGTTAGAAGAGGCAATATTTTTGTAATTTTTGTTGTAACACTTTGATGGTTGAATTTGATTGCTAGAGTTGTAGATGATAAAAAACCTTACTTATATATACTGGAATGCCCATCATTCACTACGTGCTAGGGTATTAATTCCGCCGGAAGATTAGGAATTACACCCGGAACCCAGGAGAACATAGCGGAATCAAAGTTGTCCTAATTCTATGTCATGGACGGTGGACGGTCCACGTTCGACTGTTTTGTCAGTTATACCTCTAAGACATGTACGGTTTTCCAAAAAAAGAGTTTTTTAATGTAGGTTTCGTAAAAATATTTATCGAAAATCGAAAATATCGAAACAACGGTTTTTCACGGCAAAAAACTAATATTGTTTTGGAAAACCAGGGGGAAGAACGCTGCTGTAGCGGGCTCAGAATTAAGCCTGTTCAGTGGTAAATACCATGGGCAAAGGGAACCATGTGGCGTAAGCAGACTGCGCACTGCGCAGAAGGTGAAGTCCGCCATGTTTTTGCGGGCAAAGAGATCGCTGCGAAGTTACCGAAAAATGAGGAGCAAGTTCCTCCAGGAATTTTAATATAGCTCGGTGGAAATAATTCATAATCTGCAAGCTCATAAGTGGTAAAAAAGGGGACGTGTTTACTTTGTTTATTTCGTATTTGCTTCGCTGTAAGGATACAATTTATTTGTATAATTTTCATCTTGGTATGCCGTTTTGCATAGGCATAACCCGGTGTGAAAGGCAAAAAGTGTTTTTGAAAATGTAATTTAAATTTTGATATGACAAATATCACCACTACACTTCATAAAACTTTAAGCCGTCGACTGTATTACAGAATAAAATATCATTTCAGGCTTTTTCTTTGTCTCTGAAGATCTTGTACTGTTTTAATCGTTTGAAAGCCATTACTTAAGTGCTGCCATGACATATAATGTAGCAAATATTGCCAATGTTTACACTAGCTTTATAATTATTTTGGTACCGAATGATGGAAACATTAGACTACAAGAACACTAGACTATAGATGACAACAATACTAGAATTACAAATTTTAAGTGAAATGCTGCGAGTGAATACACGTAGTACCTTTATCTTCCCCATTCATCTCTTGGGTATTCTTTAGGATAGTAATGGCAATATTTCGTGTAAAAAACTTAGACTCGTTTAATTTATATTATGATATACGCGTATACAATATTTTATCGCGGTTATGCTGATGAGAATTCTCTCCCGAGTTGAGATCGCACATAAGTTACATAAATGAGAATGTGAAGTATCACGCATTTGCATAGGATGAAACCACTGTTCTATGGTACGTGTGCTCAAAAAGTCATCGTGACAAACCAAAATCGCTGAAATCGAGATGCACGTCAAGAATGTTATATATATGAAATATAATATAGCCTGATTTGACTTTATAATTTAGGGTAAATCGGGAAATTGTGTACTTGATTTGAAATAGCGAGGGGTTGCTGCATGCATTATTTCTAGTAATAAATAAGATATTAAAGTGGAAGTCAAGTCCTTTCTTCGCATCGGTTCCATTGAGGCATGCATAAATATGCGAGGGCCCTCGAATGGAAAAATGTCAAAATTTCACATTAAGATTCAACGCTTTGCGAAAATCAAGTCATATTCTTTTCGCATATTTTGCATAGGAGATGTTCCCCAAATCCAAAAATACCCTTTTTTGCGTTGTTTTAGACCGCGTCAAATAAGCCTATCCTTTCACAAAAACCATATGCGCTTAATATCTGAGAGCCATTCTCCTTACTTTTGCAATGTATGTCTATACTTCTTCACGAAATGTTAGCTTGGCTTGAATGAAGTCTTGAATGATCAAAAGCCCAAAGTGGAGAATGTTTTATACAATCTCACCGGATGTCGAAGTTCACGAGCCACGATTTCCTTCAGCTAGATCAGATTATAATGTTCACAATATCCTTCAGGCTTCAGCCTAATGCTTCAGCCACACCGGACGGCTTTATGTGTTCACAGAATCCTTAACAGCTTTAGGTCATACTCTAACAGTACTTGGACATAATCTATTTATATGAGTACTTGGACTTAATCTACTTCTCCAAAGCAATGTTACTGAACGATTATAAAACATTACATTTAAGCCGAGGTAACCGCGCCACCTGGAGCGAGACAACCAATGGCATTAACTTAGTCGTACCTAGAATAAACACCACAGCTTACCAAAATAGCTATTATTGCATGATGCCAAGAATATACAACAGTTTACCACAAATATATGAGGAAAATAAGTGAATCAAGTGTAGA